CCGCCGGGCGGTCTCCTGGCTCTCAGAGGCTTCGCATAGGGGTAGCACTGGATATGTGGGTGTGTTGTCAAAACCAAGGGGATCCCATTTTGGGTAGTGCACCACCCATTTTAGAACCTATTTTAGTGGTTGGATTAAGATTTCACTGGGGGTACGATTTGGATTTTGACCCATGACCACGTGGGTGTATGGTCTACAACCAAACAGCTTACGGAAACACACAGGCAAAGATTCAAGCGCATCCCAAAACATCGCCTGCAGCCAAAGCTCAAAGCTCGAGTGGCAGGGTGTGCCCCATCCCTCACTATTTGCGTGTCTCCGGAAAAGCCGCGCTGGTGGTGCAAAGCCGGTCCTTCGATCGGTCTGTCTCAATCTCGGAGAGAAGCCTCACGGCATCCTCCAGGTTGTGCGGCCGCAAGGGCCTCAAGGGCCAAGCATAAACACGTGCCTGCCAAAGTGCCCGGCGACTCGAAAACCATTTTTTCCAACCATCCTTCTTTTCGAAAACCGGCCGTTTCCCCGGGTTTCCGGAGGTGTTCTAGAAAGAAGGATCCCCGGAAAGAATGGGGAAAGTAGCACTAGAATGATGATAATTCTAGCAGTTCGGCAACACGCATCTGAATCTCCCGGGTGCATGGCACAACCGGACTGGAAAAAAATGTCCTTGGCGGCAACGGCACAACGCCGGGGATTTGGCTTGTTCATGCCTAGCACAAGTTGCGTTCCCAAGCCTCCCGCAATGCCAAAACGAAGGCACCCCCCGCGATAGCCTGTCTCAGCAACGCAGCAAATAACTTAACCCTGCGACACAAGCCAAAGCTCCTGAATGCACCGGTACTTGGAAATTCCAGGTAAATGCAGCTTGTCACACTTGTCCTCACTGAAGCCATGAGCTACGCATGTGCAATGTGAGCTTACACGCGGACAGCTCGGCGCGTGATGCTCCTCTGGCATCAGCAGCTCTGCACATGACGCTTTCGGGCAAAGCTACGCGCAATTCAGGAAGATGCTGCTTAGATGGAAGGCATTGAGGTAAGGCGAGGCGCAGATCTAAGACACTTCTCAGGCCCAGGATGTTGCAGAACAAACACAGCACTGCTTTGCTATTTTGGACTGACAAAGATATATATATATATATGTTTATATATAGATATGTATATTAGTTCATGTGAACTACCATATGGTTCTCTCCTTGAGCCAAGCATCAAAATACTACACTATGAGCAAGTCATCCCTATGACATAGTTGACTCAAACAGTGTCTCGCTCGCAATCATGACAATCTGGGCAACTAAGTCTCCCACTGCGCGCCTTACCACTGCATCGCAGCTAAGTGGTCCCCCTCTCTGCTACAACGCACATCTAAGATCAAAACAAGAGCAAGCAAATTAGACGCAGTTGCATCCTGGCGCAAACTATCCAAGGCGCAGCGCCGTATGCTGATGTTGGAAAGGCTCGTCGATGTTCATGTGCCGCAGGGCTGCTTGCGCAGCGTTCGAGAGAAGCGCCGCACCATTGTTGTCAACCTGTGACAACTGCATCAACCAGTTGGGTCTCTCTTTTTGGAGGTTTTGAAAGGAAGGCCATTTTTGGAGAAAACCGTTCTTCCCAATTCTGGGGGTCCCGAACAAAACCGACACCCGATTTTCCCAATTTTGGTGATCCCCCACCCAAAAAAGAACTGTTGCCCCCCCCCCATCCCCCACCCAAAAAATTAGAACTGTTGCTCCCCCCAAAACCAAAAAAAGAAACACCCCCCTCCCACGCCCCGCCCTCCCGAAAATTCAGAAAATGCCACTTCCCGGGTGATCCGACCCCGGACCCCGGCCAGCGTCTCGAAGCTGGCGAGCTGGGCTGGCCGCTGCGGAAATCGCTTCACGTGGCACACCTGGGAGAGAGATGGTGAGCTGAGTGACGCCAGCGAGTGACGTCGTCCACCAAAATGAGCAGTGTTTTTGTGTTTTGGTTTTTTTAGATGTTTCCCCCTTGGGAGTAGTTTTAAGTGTTGGTTTCCCCAATATGGAAGCTTGTTCGGACTTTTTCGGATCCTTGCCCTTTTACAACCAAACATCATGTTGCAGTTGAAGGGTCCCCCAAACTGGTGTTTGTTGCTTCTTCTTTTTCTCGGATTTTCCCCTTGGGAGTAGTTTTAGGTTGTGGCGCAACATGGCGGTGTTTGGACTTTTCCCCTTGGTGCACTTTTCAAAGCACACAATGAGCAGGCGCCCTAAATAAAGACACACCCAGACTGCTCCTGGTGGTTTGTCAAATGAAAGCCATCCTGTCACGTGCGGTGCTGGGCCTGGTGGTGGTAATCCGGATCTCGCTGGAGTGCCTAACATGGCAAAGCAGAATATACTGAACGAAGCAAGTCAGTGCCTGCGAAGGCAGTGGCAGGCAAATTGCCATGTAGCAGGCAAGCAGGATTTGCCAAGTGTGGCTGATTACAGAATTGATGTCAATGCCTGCTTGAACAGGTTGCTTCAAGCTAAGAGCGGTGATGGCAGGGCACATCAACGAATCCCAGGACAGACTCGTCCACGTCAGACTCTTCCTTTGCCTGCAGCAGTTGCACTGTTCGAAGATGGAAGGATTATTGACACTGCGTTCAACTCGTGTTGTTCGCGTGCACGACAATAAACAAAGTTGGCATGAGGTTCCGAGTATCGTCATGGCCACAAATCTCAAACACCCCAAACCAGCCACCAGCCTTCGTGGGAGCTGCACTTTCTGAGGCAGAGCCAGCTGCGAAGGGTGCCGGTTCCTACAACTCAGCGGAAAAGTGGATGGACACGAAGCCACACGCAAGGAAACAAACGCCAAGCATGGTCATCGAAAATAGCATGGGAACCTGTGAGCTGCAACCAATTTTGCACTCTCTTGCCGTCCTCCCCTTGCTGGCTTTTATCAGTAGCAATGGACCGCAGTCGCTCCAAAATACCTTGACAAAAAGGCAGGTCACGACATCTGTTCTGCTATGATCATCCATGATCTCCCTCTCTCTCTCTCTCTCTCTCCGAAGTGTATCCGCTATGTTTCGTCCCATCGTGCAGCAATCGTGGGACCTTCCTTTCTTGGTCCCAGCCAATTCTGCGCAATCCACAGTCAAAGCACATGCTTTGATGGAGGAGAGGTCTCTCTCCAGCGAGCGGGCATCTGCATAGAAGCCCTGCTGAGCCGCTCTCCACCGCTTAGATTGCGGGTCGTGGCTGTCGTTGCCTGTCCGTCAATTCCCGGATGAAAGGCTTGCATGAAGGGATACATGCACTTGCTGGTCTCTCAAGAAAACGCGTTACCCTTCCCTGCAACTAAGATGGCACCTGTGGGGGGAGGTACCTGGAAGTCTAATTCCCTTTTGAAGGGACCTCCTGTCAGTTGCCATGTTAGGAGGGAGGGTAGTGACTCACGTGGCTTGATGGCCTGCCCCACTCTCTGGCAAGGCCAGAGAGTAGCCTGGGGCGACCACTCCCGCACACACGGCTGGGCGATGTCCTCGCATCGCTCAACAATCTCTCCCCCACCAACAAAATTGGATGGCATCAAGCGAGCGCTCGAACTGGTTGCCACGATTCTAAGTTTCAAGGCCAAGCTGAGCGGACGGAGGCGGCACAAGCAGCAGGCAGCCGGAAGAGCAAGTTGTCACAAGTCCCCTAGACAATATGGCCATGGGTCACAACCTATGGCTATCCCATTCTGGGGTGGATGAACATCCACTTGCCACCCGTTTTGGTGCTCACAAAGGTACAGGGTTTTGACTCCACAGCCATATTCCTGCCCGAGGTGCCGGCCAGTGCTTGGAGCTTCCGCTCGCAAGAGGACCAAGGCCTTTGGCTTCCAGCGTCCGACTCGAGGACCAAACTTTGAAACAGGGCTCATCTTGCTGGTGCTCAGAATCCAGAAGGAAACGAGGGAATGACCCCTACCAACCATCCCCAATTCCTTCAAGAAAATCCCCAGGTTCATTCCCTCATTCCCGACCTATCGCACCAGCAAGTCATCTTGGGCTTCCTCAGGGTCGTGCTGCTTCTCCGGACTGGGCCAGCTGTAGCCACTGCGGGCAGGATTCCTGAGCCAGCTTGAACCAAGCAACGCAAACTCGGAAGCATCTATGGGCCGACCCCCAAAGCCTTGTTGGGGAAGATTGCGGCTGCGCTCTCTCACAGGGTTGCGTGGATGGCAGAACGACATGGTTACATGCGCAGATGCGCAGCCAGAAAGGCTGGGCATGCTCCACTATCTTAGTGGCGGCGTGAGCCGAATACCTTCTACCACGGGTTCAATCACAGAAACACGAGTAGTTTACACACACTTTGTGCAAGCTTGGCGGTGTTTTCCCAAGTGTTTGTCCACAAGGCCTGTGACCTTTTCCCCGACTCGGATGCCAAGATGCCGCCAGTAAGCCAGCAACAGCTACGGCGGCTGCGCCAGGCAGCGGCCGCCCACCCGCAGCATCAAGGCTGGCCGCCTGGGGCCATGGGTGAGCTGATAGCCAAAAATCGGCGTTTGGTCGCTTTTGCGCGCATAACAAATCCCACGTGCGAAGTTGTCTCAAACGCTTCGCAAATGTTGGTATCATCTGGCTCGCAACTGTCTGAAGCAGAGCCTGCTCGCAAAGTCAAGCTCAATGTCTCCAACATTCTTTGCCGTACCCTCAGGCACGGACTATGGAAGCAATAGGCAACCTTGCCTCGAGGCCGCGGTGTGAGAAGCTGAACTGAAGCACAAAATGCATGGAGATCATGGAGCATGGCTTGCCCCGCAGCGGCGTTCAATGATTACGCTACCACAGAAGAGGCTCGCCTGACCGCGCTTGCAGTGCAGCAAGAAGAGCGGCAGCAAGCAGTCATTCACCAGTGACGTCAATACCTCCAGCCAGGCGGCCTCGGATGCGGCGAGTGCCCCAAGGATTTGACTTCCTACTGTAAATGACGGTAACTCATGAAAAGTTGCTCATGTCAAGAGCTGCACCCAAGGCTTGCGGAGTGCAGCATCTTCCTCCTGAGGAAAATGACAAAGCCTCACCGAAGGCCAAGAAACTTGGTCTGGGTGCGGCAAATTCGTCGTGCACCCAGAATCTGGCATTTACTGGAATGAGACAAGCGGATGCCAAAGGCTCGCACATGTGCAACAACTCCTCATCAAGGTCGCGCTTCATGGCGATAAAGCATCACTGCAAGGCCAGGCTCTTATCTTGCTTGGTCTTTGCTCCCTGCATGCTTAGCTTTCTGCGCGGTGTCTCCTCTTCTGCCAAGCTCAGGAGAGCTCAGGGATGAGGCTCAGGAGTTGATGGCGCGCGTCAAAATCAGCTTGCTGTCAGCTTGTTGGTGTGTTCTTGAGGTTCTTCTTCCTGTGCTCACTGTTCACGGAAATATGTCTGCAGGAGAAAAGGTTGCATAATCAGCAACAAACCACACAGCCTAGCTACATTTGACATGTGGACAAGAGCAAAGCGAAGCAAGAGCTGTTTGTCTAGGATGTCAACTCGGCCGAGCACTCTTTGCGTAGAAACAGGCCCTCAACTTTGTTGAAGGTAGCCATCTCCTAGGATCCTTTCAGGATTTCACACCAGTGTTCGCCTGGGTGCATTACTTGTCACACTTGTCACCTCCATGACGTGGAAGCACACATTGGCCGAACACTTGGAACTCGAGCTGGCTCCCTGTACACATCAAAAACTCCCTGCCCTCGGCTGATGGAAACCTGACGCTTCTGCATGACTTCATCTGCGCAATGCTGCTTCACCATGTTCCACCGGAAGTCGCGAGGGGGCAACGCCCGAGAGCAGTGAGGGAATGGAAAGCGTCAGGGCCGATGACGTTTGCACCGCTGTACGGAGCTTCTGGCAAAGAGCGTTTGGTCCTTTCAGGAAACAGTTTCTGTTGCCAGACAGATTCTAACCCAAATATAGCTTTGCAAAGCCAGTCAGATCGGATGGAGCATGCGGCCTGAGCACTAAGTAGGGCAGGGGACTCTCACTCAAGCAACTTGGAGGAAAAAAAGAAGAGATATGTTGATGCACACTGACAAGCAATTTCGCACTCTGCTCCTTACACTCAGCCAGCCTTGGGCACTCGTTGTACGTATGCCAGTTGACATCGTACTTCATGGTTTGCCAGCTTGCTCTCGAGAGTGAATACCTAGACGCAGGTGGAGCAGGCACTGGACCCGAGCTCTGCCACTACTAGGAGCGTTGCTCTGGCGGAGCATGAAGATCTATGCGTGCTCGCCCCTCTCGTTTCTGGGCACAGGCGTAGGCTTCACATGCCGCACGTTTTTTGGGGGCATCCGGAGATCTCTCCTCTCGCGCCGCTTTCGGACTGGGGCGCAGACCGAAAACTTGGAGAGGTAATCTCGCTTCGCAGGGCCGCCCGAGGGTTGGCCCGCCTCAGCTGCCAAACATTTACACCCCACGGCTCTGGGGCTTGAGCTTCCAGCTGCGAGCTCTTTCTCCTCAGGAGGCCGGCCGCGGAACCGCACCCTGTCGTAGCCCAGACCTCGCAATGGGCCATGGGCCATGGGTTTCTGGTGAAAAGGTTCATTTGCAGTTTATGGCCCAAGGTTCATGGGAGTTCATGGACCAAGGTTCATGGCAGTTCATGGCCAAAGGTTCATGGAGGTTCATGGCAGTTCATGGCCCCTTGACCTTCCGGCTCAACATCCGCAAACCTCTGGGGCCGCCCGCTTTCTGGGTTGCGGTGCTGCGCGTCAGGGGAGCCCCAGCGGCACAGGGCCAAATGTGCGGCTGCTGCGCCGGGCCTTGCACAGATCGCCTTTATCTTGCTGGTGCGATGGGTAGGGGAATGACCTTCAATGTGTTGGAATAAACCGTTTTTGGGGATTCCCTTATAAAAGAAAACCAAATCGGATGAGTCATTCCAACTCATTCCCCGCCTATCAAACCGATCGCAAGCTATGGCAAATGCAAGACTTGAGGCCACTGCTTTAAGCTGGAGGTGCTCCAAGACCGCCGGAATGGCTCTGTAGCCAGCCTAAGCTCAAAAGATGGGGGTTGGGATGACCATTGGTTGGAAAACCACCAAAGAAATTTGATATTTTCCACAGATCAGCCTCGAATTCCATGGAAGCTGAGGTTACCGGCATAGCTCCATGCGGCGTCAGAACAGGCTGCATGTTGGCGTGTCGGCGGCCAGCAATTTCCAGTGAGTTGATTTAGCTTACTTGTACAACGGCCGTCAGCAGGCGCGGTGTGCCCCCGTCAAGCCTGCTGACCTCTGACAAAGCTACATACTTAAGCCACAACGCATCAGTACCACAGCGTGTTATCATCGTCCAGTGACGCACCTTGATGTACTTCTTGCATTCGCATGGCCACATCCCCGTCTCTGCTTTTTATATGCACTCAACCTCTGGCAGTGCCCTGAAGAGGCATCCCATGTCACATCAGCTAGCCATGCTGGTCCTGACAGTGAGCAGTCATTCATGGCCAGCTGTCATGGAACATTTCAGTTGCAGGATGCTCCTGGCAACAGCCGCGGGGATGCCCTCAACTTGTGCTGCCTGGATGGCCTAGGATTGACAAAAACAATGGCGATTGGATGTGTCCTAAAAGCCAGCCTCACGGGCCCTTTCCGGCGTCTCAAACTTGGCGAAGCCACCGCCCATTCGCGGATTGGCCTGACCCAACTGCAAAAAAAATATCTCACTCCTACAGAAGCGAAATGTGAAGCTGCACAAGCTCGTTTCATATCTAAAGCACAACACATGACAGGTTCATAGCTTGCGCCTTGAACGCCACAAAACCGGGCTGCACGGCAAAGAAATTTTGCAGCGACTCCTGGCATTGTTTGCACAAGAAGTTCCACGAATCTCATATGTGCGCAGAAACACAGATTCGATGTACGCATGTATACATGCGTATGCATGTGTGTGTGGTATATACATACTGTGCGTGCAATCGGTTGTGTACCAAAACTACATAAACAAAAGTCATCATTATTATCATTGCTATCATGTTCAGTATCATTATCAATATCATTGTTGTCATTCATAATGAGTGCTGTTGTGAATATGGTTGATTATCATCATCATGACTATCTATCATTATTTTCAAAGGACGCTTGGAAGCAACTTGAGCAGTACTGGAACTAAGGAGCTGTATTTCTCTGAAAAACATGTTTGCACGCATGTGTATCTAGTGTTTTTTTGTTTTAATGCGCATGGCACCTGCGAAAGCTATGAAGAAGGCTGAACATCGCGCGACGCGGTCTCGGACAACGGCATTCAAAAAGCGAGCCCTCTTCAGACCTTCATGGGGTCGACAACCAAAAACTCACTGCTTTTTTGGCTTTTACTTACTTTGCGCTCGACCTTGAACAACTCGCTGTGGTGGTTGGTTGTTTTACGCATGCACCTTGTGTTGAATGCTTGAATTTTCGCTAACCATCAAATGGTGAACACACTGAGCACTTTCATAGAGAAACTCTACTTTTGTTTTTTGTGTTGTTGTTGTTGTTGTTGCTGCTGCTGCTGCTGTTGTTGTTGTTGTTGTTGCTGCTGCTGCTGTTGTTGTTGTCGTCGTCGTCGTTGTCGTTGTCGTTGTTGTTGTGGTTGTTGGGGTTGCTGTGGTTGTTGTTATTTTTTGGTGTTTGTTTGGTGTTTGATGTTTGCTGTTTGCTCTTTGCTGTTGGCTGTGGGCTGTTTGCCAATTGCTGTGGGCTCTTTGCCAATTGCGTTGTGTGTTGTGTGTTATGCGCTGTAGTGCTGTGTTGTTTGCTGTGTGTTGCTTGTTGCTTGTTTTTTGTTTGGTGTTTTGGTGTTCGTGTTTACTGCTTGTTGCGTGCTGTTTGTTGCTGGTTGCTTGTTGTTTGGTGTTTGCTATGTGTTGCTTATTGTTGTTTATGGTTTGTTGTCTGGTGTGTGTTGTTTCTTGTCTGCTGTCTGTTGTCTATCGTTTGTTGTTTGTTGTTTGCTGTTTGCTGTTTGCTGTGTCGTTGTTCTTCTTCTTCCTTGGCTATCTACAGTGTAGCTCCGAGCTTCAAGATGGTGTGCCGCTGCTGTCTTGGCTCGCTTCGTGCATGGCAGACACTTTGGTGTTCGTGCGCAGGCAACGCACAATAACATACTCCATCACTACACGCTTACACGTTAGCACAAGTACGCACTTTCGAACCAGGTTTGCCTGCTGCATCTTCAGCTTTCATGCCTGATTGCTCCTAGTAGCCAATGACCGCCAATGATTTTTACCGGTTCTTTCTTTTTGAAGGGAGGCATCCAACAACGATCACTGTTTCCTGGATAGCTAGGGACATCAAGCCACGAGAAAAGGTCTGGAGCAGGCAACACACCCACACACACGCAAAAATTACACGCCTGCATAAGTGCACACTTTTGCATCGTCTCAAAAAGGAAGTCTTCAATGTTTCATGTTTAGTTGGCATGTTATATTTTTGCTTCAAGTCAATGATTTATGCTCACCGACTATCCTTGGTCGGCTTTGCTGATACACGCCCATACACATCTTTATCATGCTATAGATTCAGGGATACTTGTACCATGGTCGAGACTCCCGTGTATGGGTGGTCACAGCATCTTGATAAACCCATGTTGTGTCCTGGTCAACTCCCGCATCTGCAGCTCCAACGCACGCAACTGTGTCAACACCTCGGAATTCGTTGAGAAACAACAGAGTCTCATGCTTGGGTGTGTCCTTTTTGGAGCGACCCATTTTCGCGGTGAAGTAACACCAACAGGTTTTACCCACCAATGCCTGGGTCCCCAAAACCGGCCCTAAAACCAATACCTGAAACAATCATTGGTAGATGAGAACCGCCCATCAGTTGAAAATGTGGATAGAAAAGCCACCAGAAAATGTACTAAATCAAAATATGGTAGTCAATTTGTGAATGCTGCTGGCGAACCAAAACCAGCGCGCCGCGAGTCAAGGTGCCCCAATGGAGCCAAGGTAAGGTCTGGGCTGTCCGGACTGAGTGCCGTCCTTGGCCTCTTGGCGGGCCCGCCGAGAGCTGCGCTGGGCCGCACGTATCCTCGAAGCGGCAAAGATAAAAAGAGAGCCACGAAACCACATAAATACATATATAACATATAAAAAAATATATATGTATAATACACATAATATATAGGTGTGTCATGTGTATATATATATAATGTATATATATATATATTGCGTATATCTGTATATTGTGTATATATATATACTATATAGATTCTGTGTGCCCAAAGTCTGAGCAAACCAAGTGGGTCTAGCCTCCACCAACAGGCGAAGGCGGTGGCGGCTGCGACCAAACCTGCAGTTGCATTGCTTTCAAAAAACGAGTCAGGGGTGCTCAGCTGCGCCTGCCCCCGCGTCGCATACTGAGCTCTGGGTGTGGCCTGAAACCTCCCAGCGACGCCGCTCTAAGCTGAAGCGAGGGTGAGGATCGCTGGTCGGCCTTGGCGCATCGGAGATACCTGGATGCAGCGGAGATCAGCTGAATGCGAAATGAGAGAACGAGCAAATGCATGGACAGAAATGGCCACGGGTCAAATCTCGTACCCGCAGTGAACATCCCAATCGTGCACCTTCCCCAAAATGGTACCAATGGTTTTGACCCACAGCCAAATGACAACACGACCACGGCTCACAGCCCACATGTGCCCCACATCAAAAAACGGCCTCTGCCGCCAATTGCAGGCTGTGACGGATATGCCGGAAATGCTGCAGGACCTCGAAAGAGGTAGAATCATGAGACGATAGCCCTATCTCTGCACGCCTCCAGGAGGCCCCGAGTCAGTGATGCGCATGTTGCTTTTTGCCATGACCTGTGCATGGTTTGTCGAGTCGCTGCATCACTTTTGTGCACCCACATCGATGGCGATGCCAAGCCCTGAACCACTCGCATAATCTCTGAGGGGCGACTTGCATCGAAGGCCTGAGGCATTGCGTGCTACATGGTAGATATATGTGACGTGCCCTTCAGCAGTTGTCGGTGACGGCCTGGTCCTTCAAAGTATGGATGGCAGCCTGCCAGGGCTCTAGAAGGTCCGAACATGCTTCGGCCGTGCAATTTGCTCTCTCTGGAATGAAATGCTGGCAGAACAAATGTACCGAAAAAAAAAATGCGGCCCTCCCCCCCCACACCCACCCACAAGAAAGGGAAACGCCCCCACCCAGAAAGGTTTCCCGCCCCCACAAAAAGGAAGTAGCTAGTCATGCTATTGCCGGCATCACGTCAACAGCGGTGCCTGCCAAAATAGAGTGAAATAAAGGTGGGAAGTGAAACATCATAAGTCATAAGCGTGTTCTTCACTAACCATGCGGCAAAACAGACCCTTGACCGCATGCTACATCTCAACATACTTCAAGAAAGGTTCCTGCATGCCACCCTTCCCTCAAATCCATCAGCGCCTCGGCAGACTCCACACTGTCAAAGAGAGCAAAGAGCGTGATGCCCCGGCTGAAAGAAACCTGCAATGTGGCAAGCGCGAAAAAGGATGCATGCTTGCACCTCTCACTCTCCGGCAGTACATTCATATTTGTGCTTGTCAGCATCAAGGCATACACGGCACATGTGTGTAAGTCGACTACGGTTCTGACGTTCAAAACATTATGGGCGGTGAACACGAACAGTCACGAACAGACATGTTCTTGGGCTGGCTCAGCCCACTTTTCAACAACATATCTTATACGCATTCTTGACAGGACATGCTTCCTAAACTAGTGCTGCGAAGACGAAAGTGTCCTTCAAGAAGGGCATTCCTCCCTCCACTCCCTCCAACCACCCCAAAAATGTAGGCAAAGTGTATTCCAGGCATGCAACCCAATATGGCTGTGGGTCAACAATAGGTACCCCAAATGGGAACCGTGCTAAGTGGAGCCATGGACCAAAACCTGCATTTTGACCTTTTGACCCATCTAGCTGCGAGGACTTCGCCATCTTCGGGCCCGGCCTTTGACTTCACGAATCCGGGCATGAAGCGGCACAAATTGTCCACCTCTCTATGAGTGGTGTCTGCTGGAAAGCCGGCCACGAACACCGTGGTGACCTGTAGGCTTCAACGCATGCCCGCAAAGCTGGTGGCGATGAACGTCTCTTGCAATCTGCAAGCCCGCCTGCTCGGTCTGGCCATTACCGTTCTGATGCTGCTCCATGAGTTTCGCGCTACGAGCAAGCTGCTCAGGTCATGGCTATTTTGAGCCGGACAAGCCTGGCAGGCATCAAGTTCAAGCCACAACTTGCTCATCTCTCTCACACCCGGAATCCGGAAAGCAGACAGCATTTTTTTCCAGAGCTCCGACATCCTTGCAACGCTGGCCCCGCTGTCAGCGGGCTGTCAACCTGCAATTGTGCCCGCCTATGTTCAATATCAACTGGCACATGTCGCATGTCTCAATCAGAATGTCGAGCGTGCCCCACGGCGCGTGCGTCTTCCTCTTAACTTTTTCGCACCCGCGCAGCACGTCAGATCTCGGGCCGCGAAGTCACTAGTCCGCGTTGGAGGGGAAGGCCCAACGCGAGACATCGGCCTCTCCGGAAAGCGACTGACTCGACGCGAATGCAACTCGATGGCCTCCTCTGAGGCCAAGTGCTGCACGGGGTGCACCTTGCGGTACTGGTTCTCCAAAGCATACCTCTGGCGCTAGCTATGGAAAATACAAACACGCAAGTGATATGGGGTGAGTCAACTCCAAATGTCGGCACAATCCATCCGCATTGTCGGTGGGTCCGTGCAGAGGGATGACAAAAAACTTTGGCTCCGAGGCGTGGGCTCCTGGATGTTGTGCTGGTGAGCTCTGGCCTTGGCATCGCACCAAACACTCGGGGCCCCCTGGCGGCCACAAATGGCTGTGGGTCAAAATCCAAATCGTACCCCCAGTGAACATCATGGGATCCCAATTAGCTTTGACAGCCAAATCAGCAGAGACAGCGCTCAGCCATCTCAGCCGTGAGAACAGAGTCTCGCTGGGCTCGGGGCAATTCCGTCAAAGGACGCCAGTGCTGCCCCGCGGAGCCGCGTGAGGGCCCGGAAGACCGAGCCTAGGCGAGCGAGGGCCGAGGGCCCAGGGCCGCGCGGCAGCTCCGGGAAGAGGAGCCGCTCGGAAGCTCCGAGGCCCAGGCGCTCCTCCTCGGCGATCTCGGCTTTCTCGATCTGATCGATCATCGCGTCGCTCTGCCTGGCGTGTTGTCCGTTTCAGATTGTTTTTATTGCTTTTTTTTGTTTGTTTTAATGGTGAGAAAGGCCCATCCATGCAACTTTGGGATGAGCTTTCTCGCAGAAGAAGCAAAACGCAGTGCACACAAGATAGCTCGTGTGCAACACGCTTGCCCGCCTGATGGAAGCCTCTGTCAGCTCTTGCCCGGTGGTCTGACAGAGAGCATTGACATTTCCTCAAAACCCGGCTTTAAAATGGTCATAATCCCAGAACCATGCTCCAAGAATTAAGAAGGCGGAAATCCGCAGCTAGTTATGGTTGGGATTGTCCCTAACCTTCATCTACCCGGATTCTGACTGTGGCTCACGTTGCAGTGCCAGGGCATCAGCCGTATTCATGGCTCCACTGTCTTCTTGCAAGGCAATCAACACACGGCAATGTTGGCTCTTGCAACAAAGAAGTGCTACATCGGTAGATCTGTGCTAGAGAAACTGTCCAAGCCAGAGTGGCGACAAATTGCTGTTGCCAATGCAAAGGCCTCACGGCCAAACGGCTCCAGCTCCGAGAAGGGCATGGAAGGGTCCGCCTTGGTCTCTGCCTTGGTCCCCGACTCCCCGACGGGTGAATCAGGCTAAGCCAGCTGGCATGCCGACACCCAAACGGTCTGAGTCTGAGGTCTCAGCCGCAGCTGCCTGCATTTTGCAATGCTCGGTGCTCCAAGCAAAGAATCCCAGTGCGCCAACTTGGCCTTGGCATCCTTTGGAGATGCCGCCTTTGCCTGGTTCGAGAACAAACGGGAACGTGTCACGGAACATCAGAGAAACTCGGCAGCCACTTGATGGGGTCAAATACACGACTGGAATATATATATATATATATATCGTACAAGGGCTTTTTTTTTGCTGGGCACCGTCTTGCAGTGATGGAATGGCACAGGACCAAGCCTCCGCATCCTTTGGTGCAGCTGCTTTGACCTCGGATTCAGGTTGCAAGCAGAAGACAGAATGCAACGGCGGTGGAGGCTTCGCACGTTACGTTCGTTCTGAGGCTCTCGCCTCAGGAGCTTCCTGACACAAACGACAGGCCACTTTTTCGACTTCCGGGTAAACTTAAACCCAGGGGTGCTTTTTCATCCCCCAAAAAGCAGAACCACTCTCTTTCAGCCTATCTTGGGGTAGTCAAAAAGTGGCACACTGGGCCAATAGACAGCAAGTAGAGCTTCGATGCATTTACAGTCCGGAACTTTCACGGTGCTCTGGCCTCCTCGGCATCTTCCACGCGGCTCAAGGCCACAGTAGTCTTCTCTTTTGGAGCCTGCACTGGAAACTGGTACCTTGAGCTATCGATCTAATGTCCTACCACTTGCCAGCAAGCTCTAGAGGCCAAAGCGCTTCCCTTTAATGTCTGACACGTGTTGGCCTCCAGAGCAGCATGCAGCTCGTCCAAGAATGGGGTCGCCTGTCAATGGATTCAATTTCACGCTATGCTTGCAATACAATGAGCTGCATGTAACGAAGCGCAGGCCAGCTCACGCTTAAAGCAAATGGTAAAATGGAGGGTCATGCTCAAGCTCAAGTCTTACCAAGTGATTGAGCTGATCAATTTGAGATCGTGAAAACCGTGCCTTTGTCTGTGTCGACGAGATGCCCACAGCACTGATGGGCAGCTTCCTTGGCTGGCAGGATCGATCTGCGGGGTCACTGACCCAATGCTGCGATCTATGGGGAATGGGTCTGATCGCATGCCAAGGCTCTTTTCACTGGCCGTGCGCCTGGCAAGTCCGAGAGAGCCGCATCCACAAAAATCGCCCATCACCCAAGCTGAAGTCATGTCACTGCCCCCATACTTCCGTCATACTTGGCCAACTTTTGCCTGTGGTGCTTCTTCTTGTGGCTGTGCTTCACGACCACATCAGCACCATGGACCTGGCAAAGTCCGCAGCTTGGCGATTCCAGTGCTTTCCCGTGCAACAGCGCACCTCATGTCCAGCTCCAGCAGGGCAAATCAGGAGGAGAAGTGGCAAGCAGACTTTGAACCTGAGGCCGCACCAAGCTTTGCGGCTGAGATGCTGCGCAGCTAAGCTTGGTACTGCATGGCCTCTACCTCGGATGTGACAAGCTGTGAGATGCGCATGAGCTGCGTGACCAGCCAGGCGGCGTTCAGATGTCAGGGGCGTGGATGGCAAGTTGTCCCACGCTTTGCTCTGCAATTGAGCCAGAGCTGCCTTGAGCATGACGTAACACCAATCTATGCAAGGGTGTCAAACACCGTTTGGTTCTCACATGGCATGGAGTACTGCTGTGTAAAGTCCAAGGCAAAGCTGGGAAAACAACTTCCTGGGCTTCTCAAGGAAAGCCGGTCATGATTTGTCTGTTTGTAGCTATTGACAATGTTGCAATTCAAGAGCTCATCGAGTATTGCCGTATTGCAAATCATGACATCTGGACTAGGAAATCAGCGCCCCCATTCGCGTTGTCGCCTCGAAATACCTCGAGGGATGTCCTGGCCAAGAAGCACAAGACTTCAGCATGAGTAAATCTGAGGAATGTAGAGCAGTTGCAGATCCCTGACAGAATCACGGCACAACGAATCCACATGGCCCCCAATTCAAGAATATCCGATGGCGGTTGGAAGGAATGGTGTTGGAACCAAAGAAAGCAGTCAATTGACTGCAGAACACCTCTTGCTCAACTGCCCCGTTGATAAAGTATGTACCCTTCCTCCAACAAATATAGCACCTGCGGGAGTGGATTGGAAAATGCCTCTTACGGAACAAATGACAGCTCAAAACAACTAGCTGGAAGTCCTGCATGCTCGCTCCAGATCAAGCGTGATTCGGCTCCATAAGTCGAGCAGCCAAAGACCATCTGCGCTTGCTCCTGCGCAACAAAAAGTTGAGTTGACTATGCAGCCCAACCACTATTTTGCCCAGTGAAATGTCTGAACGCAGACTGGTCGTTCTTATAATTTGAGCAATCACACCACAGAGGCCCTGGAGATGAACGGGAGGCTCGCTGAGGCTCCAAGCGGCCTAACTTGGGGGAGACAAAGAAAGACAAGGGGAAAACAGGTCAAAGCGAACGGCTCCGTCTCGTCGGATCGCGAACCGCAAACTGTGGAATGCAGCACTAGGCCTGCGACAGACTCGGGCAATGAACGTCCTAAAGTAACAGATCTGTATGTTGTCCATGTTGATCTCAGGGAATTGCATTCGTCAATCTTAAATTGTGACCCTAGAAACATGCGGAAATGGTCGAGGTGAAACCTTTAGGGTTGGTTCGGGGGTGGTTTTAGGGTCGGTTTAGGGCTGGATTGGAGATGGTTTAGAGTTGGTTTAGGGTTCATTCAGCTTGGTATATGTGAGCAGTGTTTTTTGGTGGTCCGGGGCCTATACACTACGTGCATGCCTATGCCGAACGAAGCCTCCGCGAGCCTACGCCGCTGCAAAGGGCCTACGCGAGCACGAGTCAGCTTCCAGGTGCATACGCGGACGCCTACGCGGGCAGATGTTCAGTTCGAGTCTCGAAGTGCACTTTGGCAGCTCCAGCTGGAAAGGAAAAAATCACAGTGTTTCAGTACAAGTGCAGTTTTGGCAGCTCCGGCTCTCTGATCACCTTTGCAGTACAAGTAAAACCATACATCTGTGCAAGGATCTGGCTTGCTAGAAAAGGTCTACCTACGTACTCAAAATGCTTTGAATTCCTACGCGAATGCCTACGCGGGGCCTACGCGGAGCCTACGCGAAGACTGCAGAACAAACAGCAGTAAGGCAAAAGAAGCAATCTCCTGTATACCTACGCGAAAAGCCTAGGTGGGTTACACAACAGCCTACGCGCAGAAGCCTAAACCAGCCTACGCCCCCAACCAGGATTGCCCCCAGGGCCCCCTGCGGTACCATACCATGGGGGGGGGGGGGTGGAACACGGGATAGCGTGATTGCGACAAGTTTGACCCCCGCTTGCCTCTTTCCACGCCATGTTCCTGATGTGGTTCTCCGGTCCAATCTCAAGGTCATCGGATTCTCTTGTGCGTGTCGTTGTTCCTGCATTGCACCAGCGATATGGTATTGCTGCTGACCGTGCATGTATTCAGCCAGTCTCCTTCGGTCCATGGGAGTGATGCCGAGGTGATGCCGAGGTGATGCCAAGATTGTGCACCACTCTGAGTACTGCTTAGGTTGGATCGCCTGCCAGACAAAGAAGCTGTTTGCAAACAAGCCAGCACCTTCATCCCATCGCTGCCAGCCCTGCGCCAAGAGAGTGTCTCCTCAAACCCTGCTGAGGCCTTTGTCAGCAGCTTCGGTGGCAGCATCCCGCCAGCGGATCAGCGGCAAGACCTGCTAAGCAATCACATCGCTTTTCGTCCTATTCTGTCAGCTCAAGATGCCCCAAATGGATGGAAGAGAATGCACGCGGAATCGCTGTCAGGCGTGAGCTTCCGTACCCAAGGTGCCTTCTGACGCTGCTCTGCAGCTGCAGCTGCCGCCTGCAACAGTTTTGGCGAATCATGCAATGCAACAGCTGGACATGCCGGGCATAGGGCCGGGCTGGGAAATGCACTGGCAAAAAAATACGTGAAGCTCAATTGGAGCAAACTCTTGTAGCCTTGTCCAAAAGGAGCACGCCTCTTCGTGCCGAGTCTGTGCCGCTCGCAGCCTGTCCAAGGCCTGATAAGCACCAGCATGCTGATCTCTCTAAGGGCTTGCGGCTTGTACAGACCCCCTACCACGATCCATGGGAGCTCATGTCGTTCATCCATGGAGTAGGCTCGACTTCCGGATGACCAGAATGATCAGCTCAATCACCGGGCCTTCCTCTGGCTCTGTGTGCCTCTGTCCGAAGCACTGCGAGGCCTCCTCAACGAGCACAAACGACTGGACTCAGACTGTGGATGGTTGCGAAATCCAGAAATCGCACCACCGGTCAGAAGCCCTGGGATTTGGTTTCCTAGTACCAACCAACAATGGTTTCAAAAATGGTTTTCAAACGGTGCCAACGGATTTCGCAACCATCCACAGGATTGAGGGATCCACAATGGAGTTTCGTCTCCTATTCCCGTTCGGATCCATTCGACTCTTGCCTGACTTCCTCTGCCGGCTGCCGGAGGAAACCTGCTCGTGCATCGGCGTTGCGCATGGAAACATTCCATGGTAGGCATTCGTTGCTGCTGTGCCGTTTTCGGGGTACACCTGAGTCATAGTAAAAACCCGGTACTTACATGGTCTACCCAAGACCATGTAAAGAATTAAGAAGGCGGCAGAAAAAAAATATGGTGGTGAGTATCCCTTACCGACTTTCACCCGAGTTTTGGGTTTTGAGTCTGGGTTTTCAAGGAACCAAAATGCCTCTGACTCGCCGCTCGATGCTCCCGATGCTCGGCGAGTGCCTGCAGGCCCCGGAAGGCTCGTCACAGCTGCCGTGGGAGCTGCAAAGCCATGGAGCCTGACGCGTTTCGGTGCCAAGAGGGCCCACACAATGGTGGTCTTCCTTCTGGTGTCCCTTTTAAACCACAAACAGGAGGGGATTCCAAGCTTTCTAAGACGCAAGTCTGGTGGCAAGGACGTGAAACATATGATCCACGGTACGTGCTTGGGCGCCAGCTGCAAGTCAGGCGGTCCCTGCTCGGCCTCCTCTGCCGCTTTGCGGCTGGCCTGCCAAAGGATTGGCTTGCAACATGGGATTCTCCAAAGACAAGCACGGCAGCCCGACGTCTGGTTTTGCAAGTCCTTGCATCAGGATCTTGCAGTTTGGTAGCACACAGGTGCTTGCAGTTGCTATCTGATAGTCGCTTGGCAAATGCTCTGCCAAGGTTCTAGTCCCTCTGTGCGCAGATGCTGGCCGCAAAGCGGACGATGAAGGCAGCCTCAGATTTGGCACCTCCAGTGTTGGTTTCTCCCGTACGTCGTCCTGTGGCCGTCTTCGCAAATGCTTGGACATTCACAGGATTCTCCACTTGTTTAGTGTTGCCACACAACTTGCAGGGACTGCTACCTTGCAGGAATTCAACACTTGTGCTGGGGATTTGACGTGGGAAGTGGGTCAAACCTGATACGTTCACGTGCGAGTTTAATCAATATTCCTGGCCCAAATGACCATGGGTAACTTGTCCCATTTAGTGGGAAATATCTAAATGACCTTTTGACCAACCACCATGTCTGATTTTCAGCTTCCTGCTTGGTCCCGCAAGGGAGAAGCCAAGGGGCAAAAAACCAATAACCAATGTGGTTCTGGCAGAGAACCAGCATTGATAACTTGTGGGTGTCGATTTTGGGGGAAGAAACTGTTGCGTAAAAGCTGTCTGCCTGAGTTCTGTACTCAGCCGGTGCTTCTGTTGCCTGATGGCAAGACAGAAATGGCATGGCACGGTTAGATTGGTTGGCATGATGCGTTGCCGGTGCCTGCGCTGGTTGTGGCTGGCTGGCCTTCGCTGCAAATTCCCCCAGGCCCCCCACGCAGCCTGGACACCTTCGAGCTCTCAAACGACGCCATCCTTCCCGATCCTTCCCGCCTCAAGCTCCCCCTGGAGCTTGCGGTTCTCAGTGACAAGGGCGCGCAGCGCGGCCTCTGGACAGGCCAAGTCAATTGCAAAAGGAAGCGAATAGGACCGCCATGGCCAGTCGTTTCTCGAAGAGTGCGTTCCGCTGAGAGCGCGGCCTCAAGCAGCTTACTCTTCTCAGCTTCGCTTTCTCGCGTGCTGCCATTCTGTGTCTGCTCCTGCAATTGTCAGCGCACAACACATACATACGGTCGCGTTGAGTCACATCAACATGCGTGAAGTCACGTCAACGCATGGCCACGCGCGCGCGCGATGTCACATCAGCGCGCGTGAAGTCGCATCACGCATCATGGTTTTCATGGCAATCACTCTGGCCACGCGCTTCCACAGCGTACGCCACGCTGCGCCACAAAGCTAGCCGTTTGCGTTCCACGCCTAGGTAAAAGCAGGGCTTTCAGCTAGCATCCAGCGAACAGTTGCAGCAAGCGTAAAGCATGCAGTGGCCGTCTTTACTGGACTCCGCTCCTACGCATACAGTTGGGCCGGTTGCCTGTGGGGATGCTTTCCCCACTGGCCACGCGTGATCGATGCGAGTTTTCAAGCCGATGCGACTTAAGTCTGCCCCTTGTACAGCATGAAGCATCCACTGTGACAATACGCTTCACGGCCTGCCTTTGCTCGCACCTGCGCTCGAAGGTCATTGCCGAGATCAACCTGTCACCGGCTTCAAATAAAGAGAGCACCAGCGTCCAGCCAACTTTGGCAAGGCAACAAGGTACTAATAATCTGCTCATAGTAATTGGGCAGGGGCGGCCAGGCGCTGCCTCTCAATGTGGAGGCGCGCTACCTCAGGACCAGACACCAGGGACCGACCGAGCATCTCAGCTGGGCAGCCGCCTCCTCCTGCATCTCTTGAAGATGCCGTGCACTCGCCGCAGCTTCCACAGCCGCGGGGTCCTGCCGCTGTTCAAAGCAGAAGAATGTGAGCCTATGGAATCTGGTCTGAATTTCCCTCTGACCGACCTCGATTCTTTTCTTCATATGCCTGCTTGAAACTGCTCCTTAAGTTGCAGGTCCATTTGCTGAGGACTTGCCACGATCGAAACCGTGCCCAGCACTTCTGAACTCTGAACAATTTCTTGCCAATGATTACTGTCATCTCACAAACGATTCAAAACGTCCAAAGTGCTGGAGCACTGCAAGAGTTGTCTGCAAGTGATTACTTGCATTTGTTCACATTTCGTGAGACATGCGTGATGCGCCGCACAGCGGAACAGGGTCTGCTATGCTTTGCGCAAGGCTGGCATTCAAGCTGCGCTGCGTACTTTGGGCTATCCTGTTGACTGCTCAATTCATAGTGGAAAGCAGCAGCTTGAAGGAAAATTGCCAACAGCGAGACATCAGCTGTTCCACCCTCCAGCCAAGGCTTGAGGTGCAGAGCGTCTGCATCCTCGAGCCAGCCTTGTGAAAGGCTTAGTAGGGTGGGAGGGTGGGTTTCAATCGAAACCAGCGGATTGAGTTCAAGGCTAGGAGCAAAACGGCCACCGCGTATGAGATTCACACCAGGCCCTAAACACAAGGGAAAAGAAAACCCAAAGCGTTAAGGCCTGTCGCACTGCTCCTAGCTTGTTCCCAAACAACCCTCACATCAAAGATCCCCGCAAATCCGAAAGGCGCGCACTCTTTTCTCCCGGGTTGCTTGAAAGTTGCACTGCCTCCAGGGCACGCGGTGCACCTGGAGCAGGAGGAAGCATTGTCCCCCTCTTCAGTGTTTCAAGCAACCCCGGAAAGAGCGGAGGTGGTGCAGTCCGTTCTGGCCTGTATTCTGGCAGGCCTTAAGGCTGCGATCACTCACATTTGCAGCTGACATGCAGGCTTGGCGCTTGAGCGCGCATGTGCCAATGAACCGTCATACTTTGCGGACACCTGAAGACATAAGTCAGACGAGCAGTACTCTTTGTCCCTTCTCATTTCTTCATCGCCTTTGCGAGCTCACAATCGATCGTGGGAAGATGTGTTTCGGGGATCTGGCCTGGCAGGCTGTCCACAGTGGCTGAGCAACTTTGGCATCCAACCGCGGAAAAGCCTGCAGCTGGACATAATTGCCCTTCGTCATGTCATGATCCATATCCAGGGCAGTACAAAATGGCTCTCAATTGCAACAGGGCAATTATGTCCAGCTGCAGGCTTTTCCGCGGTTGGATGCCAAAGTTGCTCAGCCACTGTGGACAGCCGGCCAGGCCAGATCCCCGAAACACATCTTCCCACGATCGATTGTGAACTCGCAAAGGCGATGAAGAAATGAGAAGGGACAAAGAGTGCTGCTCGTCTGACTTATGTCTTCAGGTGTCCGCAAAGTATGACGGCTCATTGGCACATGCGCGCTCAAACGCCAAGCCTGCATGTCAGCTTCGAATGTGAGTGATCGCAGCCTTAAGGCCTGCCAGAATGCAGGCCAGAACGGACTGCACCACCTGGAGGGTGGAACAGCTGATGTCTCGCTGTTGGCAGTTTTCCTTCAAGCTGAGTGCGCATTCCAAATGGAGATCCAATAAATACTTGGGAAAAGCGAGACGCTTTGAATGCATCAACAAATACGCGATAATCATGAAGGGATGATTGCCATCATGTCTATGTCAATGAGCCTGCCAGTGGTGAAACAACCTGCATCTCCTAGCTTTTAGCGTCAGAACAAATTTGCGTTGCACTCGTCACTCCCCGTGCCTTCTCTGCCTGACCTGTTTACTCGCCCGTGGCAATCTTCTTCATGGCAGTCATGTGGCCCCGCAACTCCTTGCCGATCACCTGCGAGGCGCGCCGGAGAAGCTGCGAGAGGCGCGATGAAGCGCGGTGGTGCCCCCGCCACGTTTTCGCCACACCTCCACCGGGTGAGATGCGATGGCTTCATTCACGGCCAGGAGAGTCTGGTTGTCAACGCCGTTGTCACCTGCGGCTGGGCTGCTTGTGCCATCAGATTGCCCTGAGCTTAGACTGTGGGTTAAAACCAATGGTACCATTTTAGTGGCGATTGGGACGTTCACTGGGGGTATGGGGTTTGGACCCATGGCCAGATCTTCTTCTCTGCTGGCCTTTGTTGTACTTGGTGCCGATCACGCTGGTGTCCTGCTTGGCCATGAAATCCTTGCAGGTGTGGCTGACTCATGACTCGCAGTTGGCAAATCAAGGAAGTTAGGGTGTATGTTGTCCGATATCCGGTCCTTCAAAAGAGGTGTGCAGGCCTGCGTGTACAAATAGCCTTGCGAACAAGACGGTAGAGCTTGTTTTCGGCTCAGCTGTGGTGAAGCTCACAGGCATCTAGGATGCAAACAACCGTACTCAGCAGTGTCTGAGATGACCTTGTTCATCTCGTACAACTTCCTGGCTGGCCAAAACTTAGGCGGACCTCGTTGTGGCCTTGCTGCTGAGCTGCTTTCTGGCGATGGTGTTGGCAATGAGTGGAGTCTCATGCAGCGACTCATAGTAGGCGCTCTCCGGCTTCATCCCGACCTCTGAGCTCCGTCGTTCAAGCAGCAAATACTTGAGATGCCAAGCGCACAAAAAACCCAAGCCTTTACCATCTCCTCAAAGGCAAGCTCGACGCCAGCCTGACGACGCGCTGACGCGCTGGTGGGTCGTCTACCAATGATGTGGTAGCACTGCCAAAGGAAGTGCAAAGAAAAGTGCTGCAGCGGCCTTGATCATTGCAACCATAAGGATTGCGTTGTCAAAGTATTCTTGCTCCTCACCACAAGTACCATGAAGGCAACCAATAAAGTAAGACTCAGTCAACATTATCCATAAGGTCCTTGATCTGCATGTCACCTGCTGGCGTCTTCTCAAACCCAGTCTCAGCGGTTTCTTGTCTCCACTTGAGCAGATTCACATCCTCGGCATACAGAGCACATAGATGAGTTGCAGGCAAATGCTGAGCATGTGGTGGGGGAGCACTTAAGTACTAATTCTTTGATCTGTACAGTTCAAACAATGCTCCCATCCCTTCCGTTTGGCCCAAGTGCTGCCTGACTGGATGGAAACAAAGCCTCATATCTTTTCAGCCTAAGGGTGCCGCATCCTTGTCCCAATCTGCCATCATCGTTTCGGAGAACATTCCCGTGATGATGTCATCCTGGTGCTTGGCCTGGCGATGCACATGCGGCCAGTCAACCGGTCTCGCTCTCTCGCTCCGAGATGGGAGTCTCAGCACAGGGCGTAAAGCGGCTGCATGATCGTTTTGAGCTCCTCGGACAGTTCGAAGCACTTCCTCGGACGCGCTTAGCGCGAAGGTGTCTGAAAGTTGATGCTGGCGCCCGGCCGCAGTGGCATGGAACATACTTCACACGACTGCAAAGCCTGCTCCTAGCAACCCATCATGCCGCCGTGTCTCAGCTTCGAGGGATTGTCCAGGCGGTCCATCATGCCGGTGATGCCACCGTGCTTCAGGGCCTCTACCAACATCCACTCATATTGTGTTCTGAGCCCAAAACTCGTTTGTTGTGTGGCGAAACAACTGATGCACAGCCTCGGTGATTGTCTCCCAACCAAACTGGATGAGCTTGGCGGCCTTGCAGGACCGCTAGGCATGAGCCCAGTAACCAGCAAGTGCATTTGCAAGTCCTATTGACATGACATCAGCGTGGCTTCATGCTGCAGAGCCACATACGCTGCTTCGATTCCATTGGCCACCATCTTTTCGAAGCACAGGATGGCACCTCAACAAATCGTGGAGTTCAATGGCGCGAGCTATCCGGGACTCCAGGCCTGTTTGCAGCATGCCGCACAGGATTGTCTGCTCGCCCATAAGGTCACTCTTCACCTGCAACTTCGGCTGGCTGTCTGCATCTACTCCATCCGTGTTCACCGTCGGCACCTCTGCAACGAAGGAGCTGAGCAGCACGCCAGCGCCTCGCCGAATAACCGCGATTTTGCAGCGTAGGGAATTCAGGCTATGAGATGGTCCGTGGCTCGTGCGCTCATGAATTTCCAGCTGGACTTCCGGATTTGACCGGCTGGGGCGTCGGCGATCGCCGCCCGTCGCAACGGCATAGGCCTTCGCGAGGTCAAGACCATCGGCCTGTGCGCAGCGTGGTTATGAGTGGATTCTCAGCTTGGCTGAGTTGTACTGCTCCCGCCTTGGGATCATTCTCCGGGTGCACTGCGATCAAGGTGGGAACGCCAAAGCCGCGCTTGTACTCCTCCCACCATATTGTCATGCCGGCTGCCCGGCAAGTGGTTCGGGGCACTTCTCCTCGCGGACTTCGGTACCAGGGCACTTCGGCGCCACCATGATGACGGTCAAGTCCTGGGCATTTGCCCAGTGTCTGCATGAGGGAAGCTGAAGCAACTCTGCCGTCCTCGCGGATCTTCATGCCTTCCTCCACAATGTTGAACCCGTGGCCTGGGACCGGGCACTGAGCAAGTCGGCGCCTCTGAGCTCTCTTTGAGAAATCCGCCGACCCCATGCCTGGTCCAGAATGGACCATGCTTTCGGCATGGGGGCGGTGTGTTCTGTGTTGCTTTTGTTGATATGCTTTCTATAAGTTTAATGTGAATATGATTATGTAGATATATATATATATATATATATAACCTATAAGTCCCTTGGGGCGGCCCTTGGGGCTGGTTTCTACGTCTGGATTTCTGGATTTCTGGATTTCTGGATTTCTGGATTTCTGGATCTCTGGATTTCTGGAATCTCTGGATTTCTCCACCCCCATCCCCCCCCCCTCCCCCCCCCTCCCCACTCCCCCCTCCCTCCTCCCCCCCCTCCCCCTTCCCCACTCCCCACGCCTCCCCCCCCTCCCCCCTCCCCCACTCCCACCCACTCCCCCCTCCCAAAATAGAAGTAGGGGCATAGAGGAAATCTTATTGAGGTTACCTTATTTCTGGTTTTTTTATGTTCATCTCAAATCTGTGCTCCCCCTTATTCGTTTTTAAAAGAGGGTTTTAGGGAGCTTATTTATCGTTTTCGTTAAGGTAATCATTTGGGTAAATTGTCGCCTTGTTCATTGTTGGGCTAGGGGCAAACATTTTTTTCATTTGAAAGAGGTAGCCCTTTTAGTAGTTATCAAGTTCTGGGGTGTTGGTGGGTCGTTTGTTTCTTTGACGTTTATCTCTACAATTTTTTATTTTTGTTCTACACTCTTGACAATATTTATATCTTCTTCCACTTTTTACATTTCCAAATTCATCAATTGTTTTATCATAAAGACATCTGTTGCATTTGAAGAATTCACCATAGTCTTCTGTTGCTTTTTCTTCTGTCATTCCATAATAATTCATTATAGTTTGCTTCACAACCATTTCTTAATATATCTTAACAACTTCTTTTTATGTGATTTTTATGTGATTGTCTAGTTATGTTTTATAGGTTGAAATTACAGTATAATGAAAGGTTATAAAAGTTTACACTGTTTAATCATATTATAATTAAATATTATGATTAAACCATGAAATCATTGTTTCTGTTTTCTATAAATTTCAATTATAACATGATCGATAGTAATGATTTCGTGTCGTTTCATAGTCTGTTTGATTTCTTCAACTGCTTGTTCAATATGGTATTGTAATGACGCTCTACTTGAAATCTTATTCTGTTTAGATGATGAATAAGAACGACTGTTGCAAATATTATTATTATACATAATTTTTGAACTAACTACTATTCCAACCTGTATTTCTTCATCATACTTCATCATTATTAATAATTCTTTTGGTGGTTTCAACGCATATGAAAGCGCTTTATCACCTTTTAAGCATTTATTGCGAATCTCAACATAATATCTACTTTCTCCTACTCGTTCAGTGTAAATAGACGGTTTCCATTTCCTTTGTAATTCTCTTAAAGCATCACATTGTTTCAGTCTTCGCCACCCTTCACTACCATTAATGTAAGTAGTGATGATTGAAACTAAGCCTTCAGGTAAGCTAGCGCAATTCTCATCCATAAAATTATTCTCTGACATTTTACCCTTACTCATTTTTCTCTTAATATATAAGGCTTTTTCTCTTTATGTAGTTTTGGCTAGGGGTTGCTGGTCGGCTGGTCTGGGTTTCAGGTTTAATTTAAATGTCTTAACCTCATTGTTAGATTATAAAAACTAGGTTTAATCATATTATAATTGAATAATATCATTTAACTAAATCACTCACGCTTTCCATCCACCTATTCCATCCCACCAGAATTCAATAATTCGCATCTGTCCATCTACTAGACTGTCTTCTGTGTTTAGTTTCCGTATCGCTCCCGATAAGATATAGTGATTAATAATCATAGCATTAAACTGTCCATCTCGGTTTAACTTTTTACCACAGTCTTTTATGATGTTTTCATCTGTTAGGTTTTCATACATTTCTTTCATGATGTCAAACCTAACAAATGAGTATATTGTCATCAAGTTTATTCCGCTATTATCCCTAAACCTGTTAATAACATCTTTCCAGAATTCTTCGTTTTCATCAACTGATGGCAAAGGGTGTCTTTTGACGAAATCCTTTATTTTGTTTAACTCGTCATCTAATTCCTTTTTATAACTGTCATTATCATCATCTTCTTCGTCTGATAGCACCCAGTTTGATAAGTCAGCAATCACTCCGACATTTTCAGTCATATTTTCACTTAATATAATAAGTTAATATTTCTTTAAGTAGTTTTTTATTTTATGTTAAGGGGCGGGGTTTTTATTGAAAAAATATTTTCTAACAATTTAATATAATGGCGAGATTAACAAAAGACCAAATAATCAGCAACATCTATTACGACTTAGACGAGGGTTTCGGAAGCACACAAGCGACACACAAGAAGGCAAAGGAAGAAGACCAAACAATAACATTAGACGATGTAAAGTCTTTCTTAAAGAAACAGCCAAATAAACAAATCAAAAATTATAGAGGAACTAATTCCTATACCGCTCCATTCGCACGATATGAATATCAAATAGACATAATGCATATGTCTCCTTTAGCAAAAGACAAGAACGTTCCACAGTATGCTTTAGTCGTGATTGGCATCTTCAGTAAATTAGCAGATGTAATACCGATGGAGGAAAGAGACGGAGAGAACGTTTTGAAGGCGTTGAGAGCAAGCTTTAAAAAGATGGGTTATCCGATGTCCGTGTATTCTGATGACGACGGAGCGTTTGCAACTAAAAATCACGTTCAGGATTTCTTCAACAGTGAAGGAATAAACCACAACGTTACGAAGACCCACGCAAATGTGGCCGAGCGTTTTATTAGAACGATGAAAAACAAAATTCACGATAGAGTTAGGTTTAACAACATGAAATGGACCGACGCCCTAACGCCGGCATTGAGACAGTATAACAGCACATCTCACTCATCAACAAGGATGACACCGTCTGAAGCACACAAGGACGAGAATGAAATAAATGTAAAGGTCAATCTTAAACTACGAGAAAAAAACAAAAGAAAGTATCACAGAATAGTGGAGAACGACAAGGTAAAAGTGTTTCAAAAGAAAAGGGGTAATTACACCGACAGAAAGGAGTATAACTCTAAATGGTCTAATAAAATATTCAATATCGATAAAATTGAATATGATATTATGGGTAATAAAACTTACAAAGTAGAAGAAATAAACAAACCGCTTTTGAGACACGAAATTTTGTTAGTTAATGATTAAACGTATTTCTTGGTGTCTTCTTTATACTTGACTTGATAGTAATCCAGACTTGATTGTTTAGGTTCTTTTATGATTTTTTCATTCAGTTTTTTAACATAAATGTTTCGTTTATTTTTTTATTCGCTACTGTCTCTATCTACTTCTTTTGCTTGATAATTGTTATTGTTATCATATGTAGGTTTAATATTCAAGCTCTTTAAGATTTTCAGTATGTTTTCATTTTGCTCAAACACTTTTTCTAATCTTGGAAACAACAACTCTAAACTACTGTCAATGTTCGCTAAATGTTCCTCCATATATACTAAATTATAAAACTAAACTTTTAAAACTAAATGTTGCAATTATGTTAAATCTACTCTTTAAATACTATTTTTTCATCATTTTTTTAACAGTTTCCTGAGTTTCCTTATCGCCACTATCGGATGGTGATGCTTGCCGACCCCATTTAAAAGTTATATTATGAACATCTGTTTCTAAATTGATACTGTCTTTGGTTTTATCGATATTTATTCGTTTATCGTTTTTACTTAGTTTGAAACTTGTCGGAATACACGAACATTTACAATTTCCTTTCTTTTGAATTTCTAATTCATTTTTCATTTCTAACATCTTTTTACACATTGGACAAGCAAACTCAATAACTGATGTTTCTTTAACAATTTCTTCTTTTTCTTCATCACTCGAAGAAACAACTGGCTCGGACTTATTCTTTTTCTTTCTTCCCATCTATATTAATATTTATATTTTTAATATATTGTATTCCTAAATTAATTAATTCTAATGAATAATAACAACATTTCTTAATTTTATTATCGGTTATTATTACTTGTTCTATATTCTCTACTTTATCTATTATATCAATATAATCTGAATAACTTCTATTCATATAAAATAATAAATATAAAATATTTTCTAAATAACTTTAATATTATTTTATTATGTCTGATGTTCCAATAATAAAACAAATAAATATAACTGATTACGATTTCAAACAATCTAAATATGAACATGTACCAAAACTACCTTTTCGCTCAATTGTTGTTGCTTCATCAACGGGTGGCAAAACAGTTTTAATTCAAAACCTTATCCTAAATGTTTATAGGGACTGCTTCGCCCGTATATTCATTTTTAGCCCGTCGGTTCTTAATGACCCTACCTTCGTTGAAGTCAAGAAATATCAAAAAGATAATATGAAGGTTGATGACGAAAAAGAAAAGTTATATTATGACACCTACCAACCTGAAGAACTGGAAGAAATAATTAACACACAAAGAAAGATAATTCATTATATGAAAGAACAGAAGATGAAGAAACTACATTCAATTTTAATCATAGTTGATGATTTTGCAGACGACCCTAAATTTGTTAGATACAGCAAGTTATTACATGGACTGGCAACGAGAGGCAGACACGACGCCATTAGTTTTTGCTTAAGCGTTCAAAAATATCGTGTCCTAGCACCAATCATTAGGTTGAATTCTAGTTCGTTGTATATCTTTAAGTTAAAGAATGTATCAGAGTTAATGTCTTTCATTGAGGAAAACTCCGCCATTGTTGATAAAGAGCAACTGTTAAATATGTATCATAAAGCGGTAGATGATAAACCATACTCCTTCTTTTATGTTAATATGAATTCCAAAGATGTTAATAATATGTTTTATGTTAGATTTGAAATAGCATTTAAAATAAAATAAAGATTGAAATATATTATGATATTTTATGATTTACCATTAGACATTAAAAACCTTGTATTATCT